AGGAGGAGGGGAGGAGGAGGAGGAGGAGGAGGAGGGGGAGGAGGAGGAAGAGGAGGAGGAGGAGGAGGAGGTGGAGGAGGAGGTTCGACATCTCGTGAGCGGGAGGCGGCCCACGACCTTAGACCCGCATGGCTTCCGCTCGCTCGCGCCGGCGTGCGGGGCCCTGGCCCAGGGTGCTCCAGCGCGCCGGTCTCCCGGGCCTTGGGCCGGGGGTGCAGTCCCGGCCCCATCTTCTGCACGAGCGAGATGGGCACGGAAAGAATGTGTACGATGCCCAACAGCGGATCCTGTTCATTCTGAACAGGACTCGTTGTCCACGCCGCCGCGGCCCGTGTCCATTTGAGACAGAACGCCGCCTGCCCAACAGCGACCGCTGTTGGTTCGGGACAGTATTTGCTGTTTGGCATTGTGCCCATTCTTTCCGTTCCCATGTCGGGCGACCAAACATCTGCTCGTTCCGTCGTGAACTCGTACCCATCGGTCGTTGAGAAGAGAGATACTTTGTGTTGGGCTCCCAGGTTCCAGTCTACTCCAGCCGCCTCCCTGCTCCAAGAGTCAGGTGTCTCTCTCCCCTCCCCCTCTCTACGGGAGGCGGGCGGAAGACCAATCTACTTCCAACGCCTCCCTGCTTCATGTTCCTGCCTGCTTCCTCCGACCGATGTGTGCTCCCAAGTGGCGGGTGGGGGGCCGCTGCGGGCGAGACGGCCGAGGCCCCGACTCCCTGGAGACCGGGTCGTCGGCCCAGACCGCGGACCTGCCAGGCCCAGCGGCGCTGCTCGGGCTGCGCGTGCGGGGCGGGCTCGGGTTGCGCAGGCTGCTCGGGCTGCGCACCAGCCAGGGCTCCGAGGTGCTCGGGCGTCGACAAGCCTCGTCGCTCCCCAGCGCACCCCCCCCCACACGTCATGAGCCCAGAGGTCGGAAGTGGGCGTGGCATGAAGGTGTGCGTTGCCGCTGCTGAAAATGGCGATGTTATTTCCGATGGCCGCAAGTGCAACAACGCTGGCTTGGCGTCGACTGCTTCTTAACCAGGGTAAGAATGTTATGATTCCAGCTTCCCCGAAAGATCGCCGTCCAATCTGAACGGCGACACAAATTGCCACATTCCATGACGCCTTCGCGCATTTGCGAATCCTTGAGGACACCATAGGTTTTCCAACATTTCATCAAACGCTACCACGCTGGCCTCTCGCGCGCGCATGTCGAAGTCGATCGAGCGCGCGCGTACTGTCCCAATAATCCTTTGCAAACGACGGGACGAAGTACACGCGCGCGAGTCGTCGCGCGCGCATGCCAAAATCCTTCAAACACCATAGGTTTCGCAAGGATTTCAAAAACGAGTGCCCCGAAAACAAATAAGAACACATTGTTTCGCAACATTATTTTTATCAACGCTTGCGCGCGATCCGGCGAAATTTTAAAGAATACCATCAGGGTGTCAGGCTTTTCAGCATGTGCATGCAACGCTACCAAAAAGGTTTTTCGCGCGCGCTTGTCGAAATCGCTCCAACCACCTTGCGCGCGTACTGTCGCACCAATCCTTTGCCAACAACGGGACGAAGTGCACGCGCGCGCCGTCGCGCGCGCATGCCGGCATTTTCCAATGACCTTAGTTTTCGTACGGATGTTTGAGCCGAGTGCCCCGAACACAAAAGAACATGGTTTCGCAGCACGGGTTTTCAACAACACATTTCGCCCGAGCATTCGCAAATTCGTGAGGCAACCCATTCGTTTTGTCAGCGCTTACATTAACAAATTACAACACTTGCCTCTCGCGCGCGCATGCCGAAATCGCTCGATCGCCCTTGCGCGCGAGCTGTCGCAAGAATCCGTTGCGAGAAACTGCACGAAGTGCACGCGCGCGCACCGTCGCGCGCGCATGCTGAAATGTTTCACAACCTTAGGTTGCGTAAGGATTTCAAAAACGAATGGTCCGAACAGAAATTAAACACATTGTTGCGCATCGTTCTTCCAAAAAGCTTGCGCTCGCGCGCTCTGGCGATTTGTTCCGAATACAACGGGAGCTCCAACAACTGTTCAAGTGCGTACATCCCGATTTCAACAACGCTGGTTTGGAGCTGACCGCTTCTCAACCAGGGTCAGGATGTAGGATTTCAGCTTCCCCGAGCGATCGCCGTCCATTCTGAACGGCGGACACAAATGGCCATATTCTTAAGGACACCATTGATTTTCCAACATTCTCATGGAATGCGACCGAATGGGCTATTCGCGCGCGCGTGTCAACATCGCTCGGACGTCCTTGCGCTTGGACGAAGTGCGCGCGCGCGCGTCGTCGCGGGGCGCATGCCGAAATCATTCAAAAACCTTAGGTTGCTAAGGGGGTTCAAACACGATTATCCCGGAAACATCCAACAACACATGGTTTTGCAACATCAGTTTTCAAGCAATGCTTGCGCGTGCGTTCTGGCGAATGAATGCCATCGGTTGTTCAACCCTGTCATCACATTCTGCCAAGCGGGCCTTTTGTGCCGCATGTCGGACTCATCCGAACGCCTTTGCGCGCGTGCTGGGGGGCACGATCCGTATCACATCATTCCACGCGGGCCTCTCGCGCGCGTCGGCCGCGCGCGCATGTCGAATTCCTTCCGATACCTTCACCACCAACGCGAGGACTTCGTCATCGTTAGCGGCGGGCGTGATGAACATCGGCGCCGTCATTGGCCTTGCCGTCGTCATTACCACCATCGTCACCATCATCGCTACTCTCATCATCGTGTCTGCCCTTGTCGGCGTCGCCATGATACCGCGCCCGCACACGTCACCGACTCTCACTGAAGTGTCCGCTGGAAGCCCCAGCGATCAGCGCCACCGCGGCCGCATGGGTCGCGCCGCACTAGCTGGTCGCTGCGCGCGCGAGCATGCGCGGGCTAGCGCGGCCGCAGAGATGCACCACCCAACGATAAACACTCATCGCAATCGCCGCCGGATGGGTTCTGCAAACCAAGTTGCGGATGGGTGGGTGGGATGTTTGCGCAAGCAGTGGGGTTCATATTTTCAAGTTCGGCAGGGTGAATTGCACCACATAGTTTGCACCACATTGTTTGCGCCACGTACATTGCTTCACATATATTGCACACAATAGTTTGCTAGAGCCGCACTGTTAGAGGTCCACGCTTGATAGCATGAGGCCATGAAAGAGTGTCAGTCAAGCTTCTGCCATGCTGGTCGGAGTGTTCGTCGTTTCGCGGTGTGGTGTCGTAGCGAATCAGAATGGCAATTCGATCTTGGTTTTTACTGGATGTGTTCGAAGTTGGGCGATGCATGGTCATGGCGTGTCGTCGTTTTAGATTGTTTTGTCCACTGCTGGTTGTCTTTTGGCAAGTTTGCTCGTGGATGTGGGCTCTGCTATTCTGGAAACTCCTCAGGGCTTCGAGAGCCGTGGCGCTGGCTCTGCAACCATCGCGGCGACTGGCTTCACAGCTGGCAGCGCAGCGCTCGACGTTCCGGAGATATTCTTGGATTGGCAGGTGGTATCAGAGCCAAATGGAGGTTCCCCGATTCTTGTGCCCCCTCCATTCCGCGAATGGCGCTCGTCACAGACGCGGGCAAGGCGGTGAGCCTTGTGACGACTTCCTCCCAGGATGTTCTTTTAGCGGCGGTGGTCTCTGTGGCCCTGGACCAGTGCCAGATTGCCACCACACCATTTCAATGTGGTCCGTCGGTGTCCATTGGAAAATTGAGTGCGTGCACCCAGCATTTGATTCGCCCTAATTCCTCCTCCTCCTCATCCTCCTCTTTCTTCGCATGTACTCGTCGTACAAGTTCACGTGGCCACCCGCACAGTTTTTCACAATTACGCCAGGTAGATATTGTCGTAGCGTTTTGAAGCTCCAGTGGTTTGTAAAGCAGTTGCGTCATGTAGCACGACTGGCGTGTAACACAGCGGCGTGTTGTAGCGCGTGCTGCTTGTGAACACACCAGCCGCTCGTACCGATTCCGTTGCACGTGCAGATGCCTCGCCGTGCCAGTCCAGGGTTTGTGTATCGGGCGTGCCAGGTTGTGTGAGGCTGCGTGCTACTGGCAGTCGGACTTGAGAGATTTGGTGTTTTGCGAGTTCCCTGAACTTCCAATTCCACTCTTTCCAAAATCTTGCACAGGAAAAGCATCTGAAGCCAGAACTTGGGAAAACGCCAAAACCTAAGAACAAACACCTGAAATCCAAAGCGTTTTTTTCTGGCCCTACTTGGGGGTCCACTGGTGGGGCCCTCTTGGGCCGTCTTCTGTGCTCTTGTGCCGTTTTGGGGCCAATTTGTGTTGCCTTGGGAGCATATTGGGCAATCTTGGCGGCCTTGGTTGCCTGTCCAGACCGCCCTGTAAGCTCGGGAGCGAGGGCCAGTTATTCCTACTACAAGGGAACGTGATCGCGGGAGCGCGGACCGATTGCTCTTTACTAGGAATTGTGGCCGCGGACACGCGGATCCATTGTTTGTTGGAGCTCGTGACCCCAGGAGGACGGGCCCATCGCTTGCTGAATCGAAACGTGGCCTCGGGACGACGTCGGGGGGTGGGTGAATCCAACTTTTCTGTTGCAAGAGGCCGTGGCCTCGGGAGGAGGGAAGCACACGGATCATGAAGGGGGAGGGCTAGAAAAATACAGAATTGTTGCCAGATAGCACGTGGCATTTGACCATGCATCGACGTGCCAGGCGGCACGGTGGCATGCACAGCGCCGAAAGGCTACACAATTGCCACAGCATGCCAGCAACACGTTGCAGCGTCAGGCGCCAGTGATGCCTTCATGGAACTTTTATTTGGATCGGATAATGCTGCCTGTGTGTTCCACGATCGGAAGAGGAACATGTAGGCGTTTCAAGGCGTTTCAGGGCCAAGGAAGAGTGCCTTGCAAGGCCGAGGCCGTTCCATCGGCCTTTCAAGGGGTGCACCTCCTAAGGCGTGCCCACAGCCAGGGCTTTGGTCGCGATCGGGGAAGACCCCACGGCCTTCCTTGGGGCCGCCGCCAGCCAGGACGATTGGACTTCTAGAGCACGTATTTGTTGTTGTTTTTGCTGTTGCTGTTGCTGTTGTTGCTGAGCTCTCAATATTGGAAAACAATTATGGACCCCCCCTCTGGTAACAGATGTGTTTTGTTGAATTGAAATGTTATTCCTGGGGTTCGCCGCACCCGGTTTCAATTTGGAGTCTTCTTCCTCAAACTGCGTTGTGGGCCCCCGAACTACAACAACAACGGCTCCGGCCTGATATTTCCTCATAGTGTATTCCCAATCGTGGTCTCGCGCGGCATTTCCTCACAATTTATTCAGGTATCGCGCTCTCGCGTGGGACTTCTCGCAATTTATTCAGACGCCGCGCCTTCGACATTCAGGAGTCACGCTCTAGCGGTGGATTTCATCACGATTGGTTTGGGAATCGAGCTGTCGCTCGAGACTCCCCCCCGATTCATGCAGGACGCATGCTTCAGCCACCCGCCTGCTCGACCTGGCCGCCTGGGCCCTCCTTCCCGACCCGTCTGGTAGGCTCTACCCGCCCGATCTGTCCGTCTGGTTCTTCCACGTGCGTTCTGCTCCTAGCCCCCTCCTCCCAGTCTCTCTCGTGCTCCATCCTCCTCCCTTCCCCTTGTCCCTTCCTTCCATCCGTCCTCTCCTCCCCTGCCTCATGGGCTGCGTGAAATACACGTTGCAGGTAAGAAAGATAGACCGCCAAGGGGGTACGGTCGAAGACGAAGAGGGCGGCTATCGAAGGTTCGGGATATAGCGTTGAATGGCACGCGAGCAGGTAAGATCGAACAGTGTTCACATGATCGCTGTTGTGGTTGTAGCAACAAGATATCTTACACATAAAAATGTGAGGGGGGCGAATGGTCATTAATTATCCCTGGTCGCGTGGGTGATGTGAGGTTCCACGGTGCGGATTGTTGTTCGGTTGTTGGGCTGTTGCGTTGGATTCTTGTTTCTAAAGGATGATTATTGCAGATCGCTCCTGCCCTGTGCGTATTGCGGTTTCCAATGAAAGTGCTCTTCCGGATGGTTCGTACCCAGTTCATGAACAGGGGAAGTATTGGCCCTCAAACTGTGTCGTTGGCTCCAGCTTGCAAAAACAGCGGCTCCCGCTTCATGTGTCCTCTCAATGTCAGGGTGAGGGGGCCGAACGGTCATTCATTGTCCCTGGGTGCGTGGCTGAAGTGAGAATCCGTGGTGACGATTCTGCTTGTTGCGTTGAACTTTCATTGCCGAACAT